GAAACACCACAGAAGCTTGATGAAAATCACAGACAAAGGCTTTTAGAATACGGTAAGCCGCTATTTTTTTAATTTTTGAGACTGTCGTAGTGCGCAGAGCAGGGGCTTCCCAGTCTGCTTGCCACTTATTAAAAAGAACACATTTCAGCTTGAATCCTAGCTATGCTCAGCTGTGCTCGACTGTCTGAGAAATTCTCCCGCGCGTTTATATGTCTTTTCATCGGTGCCTGCATGATGTTCTGTGTTTAACTGCTCCGAGCTAGACTCGTTCCCTCATGTTGGAAACATTTATTGAGACACTATACAACCACTATTACCTTTGTCTTCCGAATACAGTCCAGTTATATTACCGGCTTTTTCTTAGGGGCAGATTTTGTCCAAAACTCGGTTCCAGGAGTCGCTCGACTTCGTGAATTTAACTCCCATTCACATTATTCAATTATATTCTGCACTATTCAACCATTACTCCCCCGAAAACTCGGAAGGTTTTTTCTTCCATGAAACTTTGTCCCATAAGGGTAATTCGCTGTCCTTTTCACGAGTATGACATTCGTTTTTGACGCTGGCGCCTATTTGGCGCCACCACTTTTCTCACCAAATCGGTGTAGTCTTGCATTCTAGGGCTATTCAGTACCTTTCACGAATATGATAATCCTTTTCAGCCCAAGCGCCATTTGACGCCATACTCTCTTAATCGAAATCGATAAAATTGCATAATAGGAGTGTTTGGTGCCGTAATCACGAAAACGCCATTACTTTTTCGACACCAGCGCCACCTAGCACTCTGCATCCCTTCACGCCAGGCTCAGGCTCAAGGCCGCATTCACAGTTGACAAATGACGAAAGTGCGGATAGAACAATGTATAAGTATCGATTCAGAAGAACAGCGGAGTCGGGAGAAATGCGGAATCTGCAGAAATGCCGAAATGAGAGACAACGACTTGATAGGGATAGAGCGCTTTAAAGACAGTATCCGCCGCTAGGACGAGCCTTCAAAATGATTCGCGCTTCTGGAACCTGACTGCGCCTTGATGAAGATGATCCCGCTTTTTCGATCAATGGCGCGCGATGAGGAAAAGTTATCGCACTTTTCGACAAGGCTCGCTAGGCCACAGAAGACGGGTAGTGGACGAGGCGTCTGGTCCCGACTGCTCGTCCTCTTAAGCCCGGCGTCCTTTAAGTCCCGCGCTCCAACTGCGGCATTTTGGCCAAAAGTTGCTCTAGCGCAGCTAGGGTCTTACTTCGGGTCAGCGCTTGTAAACATGTGTGAAAGCGCGGAACCATTAGCGTTTTTTTTGGGGCTTATGGAATGTAGTGCTTGCTTTTGCCAAATGGTAGGGAGATTTGTTATCCAGTGGGTTGTTGTCATTTTTCTTTCTTTTTCTTTTTTTCTTGCAATTTCTCAAGAAAACTCAGAACTTCCCATTTTCTCTGTAAGCACACTCTAATGATCCATGTTGTTGAAAATTGGAGTACGTTTGCGCAGCGGCGCTGTAGGCTACGCTCACGGGACGTTGTAAGGGCCGCTGTAGCGCTACAAGTATGAAGGTCGCCTTTACGTTCGAAAGTATCCTATTTCGCAAGCTGGGACGCAATTGGGGCTGCCGCATCGAATTCTGGCGCCACGCCGGACACGTCGTCAGGCCGCCCCACTGCTTAAAGCTAGGTGTTGGTGGTCAAGGTGTCCTGAAGATTTTCTGCTTCTTTTTTCTACTGAGAAGCTACTATGGAATACTGGTGCATGACAGTAGTAACAATTGCCCGCAATACTTGATCGCGATAATTGTCTTTAAGCCCAACAGCGGGAGCAATGTCGAAGTGCAGAAATTTCGCCATATACTTTACTTTTTTTTACTGCAGGTTCTGCATTTCTCCCAGTTCCGCAGGTTGCAAATTCCGCATTCCACTGTTCGGCATTTCTGCATCATGCATGAACGCGGCCTAACAAGGGTCTCTCAGGTCATGGCGCGCTTTTTAGAAACGGTTTGTTGCATATTGTAGGGGTCCACAAAGATGGGTTTCGCTTTTGCTATGCGTTGATGGGAATGCCAAAAAATGAGTGAAAACAATTTTACAAGTAAAGGGCCATTTTTTTATTGGGCTCTGTTGTAGCTACAAATTTGAGAGTGCAAAGCTTATAAGGTGTTCCTTAACTATGTACCAAAAAGAGAGCAAAATAAAGTCAAAAAGAAAGTGCATTGATAGAAGTACTGCCGAAGTTACTTCAACGATACCCGCAGCAACAGTTTGTGGTGGACGGATGGCGGAGTGGATAGTGCAGTGGGCTCCCGAAAAGGTGGTTTATGGATTGGATCCTCCTAGCAAAGAAATTTTAGCATTTTTCGGATTTCCGTCTCCTTGTGTTCCTGCATGCGTGATGATGTATATAACATGGATATATGCCATTTAAGACCTCATTATAAGCACTAATAATTCACGAGTCGACCCTACGAAACTACTGCGCCCTCGAAACATTAATGAGGAAACCCTTGCTGAAAGTTGGGCTACTGGGATGAACGGATGTCCTACTCACGTGCGACACTCATTTTTGATCACGGCGCAACCTATCGCCTATCAACCTATCAACCTATCGCGAGAGCACTCTTGCACTGAAGTCGTTGTCAACCCGTACGCAGGGGCTGTTAAGCGCCATGATAGCGTCAAATGGCCTCGGCGCATGAAGTAAGTGTTAGAATCGTGTGCGGGGCTACCAGTTACTCCTGTATACGAACTTCCAGCAAAAAAAAATTTCGGAGGTTTTGGTGGTAACGAACCGACCACTTGGTTGACAGTAGCACCCGATCGGCGCACCCAGCGTAACTGGTTCCGTTTTAACTTTCCAGGTGTAGATATTGTGCAAAACATATATATTTCCGCTTTTGAAGTTTGTAGTTGTTAGTTATGAAGGTATACTAGTAAACAGAAAGGTCCATGTGTCGACTTTCGCCTAAACCTACACTCGGAAAAAAGGCAGGACGAGTTTTACGGGCGTAAATCGTCCACTTCGTTGTGGGACCACACGTCCCTTTAACTTCATTTGAATTAGACTTCAATAGGAGCGGTTTTTCGCCCAAGATCATCGCTTTTGTGCGTAATTGTAGTTAATATTTGAGATCTGCTTCTGCTTCGATTAGGAATTACATGAAACCTGGGGTGCAGCCGGAAACTTCAGCACACCAAAAGCATTTTCTGATTTTTAGGGACTACATCCCACCAGGTGCATTTCTAGAAGTTCTGCCACGCAGCATTTTTCAGAAGATATCTACAACTTATCTCCGGTATTCTGTGCACACAACCGCTGTTATGAGAGCTGTTTGTTAGATATTTGATGCTAGATGTTCGGCGGGCAGAAATTTCCGTTTGACATGTGTGTTTGGATACACAGCACTACTGAAATGTTCCTTGCCCAAAACTCAAGGAAAAAATTTCTTCGCTGAAAAATAGTCTATAGATGTTATTCGATGTCCTGATCACGAATATGACATTCATTTCTGGCGCAAACAATTTTCTGGCCAAATTTGATGCAAACTTGTATACGGGGTTAACTGACATCCTGACCACGAGCATGGCATTTATTTTTGACGCTGGAGCCATTAGGCGCCAATTTGGCGCTACACCTTTTCTTCCCAAACCCGATAAAAACTTGTAATTGGATTGTTTGATGCCTGATCGTGAGTATGGTATTTATTTCTCCATACCAGCGCCATTTGGCGTTCTGCTGAGGCTGAACGTGGCAAAAGGAGTGATTCCCCTTCAGACCAGGCTCAGTCCTAGCAAAGCGTAGATGACCATTGTCCTACGTTAGCGCCGGCGAAAAGAATGGATGTCATATTCGTAAACAGGATATCAATAACCCCCGTACACAAGTTTTCATCGATTTTGGTAGTTTAGGGTGTTTTGGCGCCGGCGCCTGTGGCGCGGGCGCCAGGCGGTCTTGGCCCAAGTGGATGTGATATTCGTGTTCAGGGGTTAAACTACCCCTAGCGGCAAGTTTTCAGTAAATTTGGTGATCGAGTAATTTTGACGCAGACGCCAGGCAGTTTCGGGTGAAGCGGGTGATGTTTCGTGTTCAGGAGGTCGACGTACCCCTACGAGCCAGTTTTCAGCCAAATCTCCCTGGTAGAAAAAAGTCGTAAAAAATTCGGCCTGATTCGAGGAGACTGGGCAATAGTGCCAAAAACCGCTCTATTGAAGTATCGCTATCAAATGAAGTTAAAGCGGAACACGTGTCTCACAACGAAGTGGACGAACCTGCGCCCGTAAAACTCGTCCGTACATTTTTCCGGGTGTAGGTTTAGGCGACAGTCAGGCATCGAAGTTGGATAACTACTTGTACAGGATACTGATAGACACCAGTTCAACAAGACGAGCTATCATAGCTCGAGCAGTTCGAGGAGAAAAATTTCGCTGAAAGTCTGTATGTAGAGGTTATTAACGGCCCTAATCACGGTTCTGACCCTCACAAATGGCGCCTAGGCCATTTGGCCCCAACATGGCTCTGAATACCCCCCCCCCCTCAGCTGCGGGTATATGAGAATCACTTGAAACTACAATGCTACCTCTCTGTGTGCCAAATAAAGTATTTTTTCCTTGTCTGTATTGTTTTCGATGTTCTGTCGACGAATGTCTCATTACCTATGCATACTCGACATTAGAAATAGAAAAGAGCACAGAAAAATGGTTCGAAATCGCTTTTCCTCAACAAAATTTTCACTCATTTTTGACATTCCCAGAAATGCATAGCAAAAACGTTTTAGTGATCCTTATATGGACCCCTACAGCATACAACAAACCATTTCTGAAAAGCGCGCCATGACCTGAAAGACCTCCCTTGTGAGAGCGCAGATGATCGTACCGCCCTCCATAAGCACCAGCGCAGGTCGTCTACCTCTGGCCCAAATTTTTGGCCGAATCTGCCCCCTTACAAAAAAGTCGGTAATAACTGACTTTTCCGAAAATCGGGGCAGTAGTCGTTAAATAGTGCCCTTTTTATCTAATCTCTCTTTGAAGGTATCCAGCTTGCTGCCGGGGATCATTTCACTCCTGAGGAAGACGCCAGGATCCGTAAGAATTGGCGTACGATTGCACACAAATATGGCTTCATCTATGAGGATGCCCGCTATTACGTTGGATATTCCGAAGACTTGGAGTCTGTGAGTTGCTCGTGGATGAGGGTTAGAGCTGCAGAGTGACTGTGCCAATATCTAGTTCTGTGAGTCCTCAAAAACTGGCAGCAAATCTCGATCATAAACTCTAGCGCTGGGACGGTTCTTGAACGTTCACGGAATCACGTATTGTGTTTAGTTAGCATTAGGGGCTGAGTATTCAGCATTAAGGTTAAACTTATGCTTACTAACTCGGTCCAAAGATGATCCCGATTTTTTCGTCAGATCTTCTCTATTTGAGTTTGTCATTAGAATTTCTGGTTCCTGACAAAATTAGATGTAATAATATAATGTTTTATGTTTATGCTGAAAAGTGCAGAAAATCAAACAAACAAACTGTTCCATCAAAGACAAACTTCGGCGATCACATATTCTGGGTAATGGCTTTCAACAACGAATCTATAAACGCTAGTCACTCTCCATGGGAGGAAAACAGCAAATAATCGTAGACATGACAACAAAGTGATCTCCTGCCGCCTCAGGCGCACTAATCTTTCTTCGCGTCACCTAGAGCAAAATGATGTAAGAGTCAAAGAAAAACAACGAAAGGCACGACGAAACTCGCGACAGAAAATGGCTTTCGAATAATAAAGGAGAGCAGAATTTATTATGAGCGCCAGCACTGTCAGCAAAAAAGGCGCTCATTCAAGATCAGTACCCACCGTTGCAGCGAACAACAAGTGAGTGTCACTGCGTCAACTGTAAGGGGGACATTGTAGGTGAGCGGTCTAACTGAGCGGGTGTCCGAGCTAGAACTTTCAACGGTTGTCAACCCTTTTCGCTCTCTGTGGAATCGCAAAAGTGGAACAGTCTCTAAGTTTGAGGGCCGGACTACTTGCGCAAGGAGGGACGACCACGAATTGCTTGAGCGCGGGATCTGTCTTCGACAGGAAGAAGAAAAATGCAGCTTAAGCCAAACTTCTGCCGACAAAGGGAGAAGTCCTTCGGGATTTGCGCGTACTTTGCGACGCAGAGAATGAGTATAAGAGAGAATGCGCAACGTGAATTGTAGGCATCGATCCGACGAATCTAGAGAAAAGGAGAATGGTGAATGCGCGAAATGGCGAATGCTCGTCAAATGAATAAGTCAGCTCCCATCGCTGGCGAACCACATCATCGTTTTGGCGGTTCTTATATTACCCTATCCTTATTCTCCCAGTTCGCTAATGACCGGAGTCGATCGCTTCCCATTTACTCCTTCGATACGATTCTTCTTTCTTCGATTCTCTTCGCATCTATTCATGAGTGCAGCGTTAATGAGCTCTGTTTTTCCTATTCATCATCGTCGAGCGTGATTACATTGCACAACAAAAGTGTAATAGCTGATTATTTTGCAATGGCTTCTTCTATTGATTGTCATTACACAGAAATCGCCTCCTAATAGTACAGAATACAGCGTTTGGTTAAGGTACGGCTGCAACGACTCCAAAGCGCTCTTCTTATCAGTGTAGGGATGTGGCCGAAATTGTGTAAGCTGCGCTTTCTTTATCATCTATCTGTGGCGTTAGGACTAGTTAAAGTTGATTAAAGGTCGAAAACTGGAGTGTCGAAGCGCATATCAGATCCAGAGGCGGGTGTTATACATTTTTGACCCCTATTATGTCGGTGGTCCGTCGCCACTGCCGCAGGAAATGGTTTTACGCATCCATGAGTAAGATAGACGTTATTTCGTGGCACTCCTTCTTTTTTACTACGATGCTCTTCAGACGTGCGCTGCGTGGTGAATCCCGATGGCAAATAGCTCTTTCCTTGGGTGTATCAAGAAGTCGAATAGACAGTGTCCTCAGAAACAAGAAGCAACAGATGGAGCGACACGGTTGGACAGCGGAGGTATACAAGGTTTTAACGAAGTTCTTCATAATGGTGCGTCTGAGAGAGCGAAGATTTTTTTCGGCTTTCTCTCCTTTCAGACAGGAAGGCCAAAATTCCTTTGAAGTCGTGCAGAAGGGTTTACCGTTAGATCGTGGTTTCTATATAGAGAACGGCAAGTCAGCGCTGCATCGCAGTCACCGCACGCAGCTATCTGTAACAGCTTTCATACTTTGAGAGACTGTAACTACGAAACAAGAGAGTACAGAATACAGAGTTTGGGGAGAAAATGCGCGCGATGGGAAGTACAAGTAGCGATTCAGCAAACTGGAAGAGTTCGAAGTTCTGAAAAGACCAAGTGCGTATAGTTAAGTAGAAATAAAAATGAATCGGCCTTCTGTGATATCCTTTTCCTATTTTCCTATTCTCCTCTTCTCTGGATTCGCTTGAGCGACACTTATCCCTTCTCTTTACGCATTTCGCTGATATCCGATTCTCTTTTTCTGCTATTCTTCTTTGCCTCAAAATATGAGCGATGGACTCAAGCGCGCGGTGTTCTCGACCCCGCGCAAGCATATCTAATGGCGGATTCATCTCGGGACTTTGGGGTACAGCCATTCTTCTTTTTGATTTTGCTGTTCCAAACATGGTTCTAATATGTTTTCGAGAGTTTAAAACACTCGGTCTGAAAAGATGTTTAGCAGTTATCAATTGACGAACTTCAAAATTCAGGATATTGCACGTGACCCAAGTTTGCTGGACAGGAACTGTCTTCCTAGACATAGATATCGAAAGTTGTTCGGTGCTTGTTTTTTGATGTCAGTTTTGCCTTTGTGGGATCGCATCAAACGATTCCTTTTCAGAAACAGTTTTGTCAAAATCGTCATTATGCGAATCGCAGGTTGCCGAATATCTTCGGTCATCTCCATTGAAAATCAAAATCGCACTCGCACATTTCAACTGGGCTCAATTGATACCTTTATTTCGGCCTTTGCAAGCTAATGAAATCAAGCATGAATGGTAAGTGAAGTAGTTGCGTTGTCCTCGTAGTGTTCTGGCATGCACCTCAGTAGACGAGTTCTATATGAACTCGACCTTACACTTTATAAGATTTTTATTAGCTACATCATATTAATAAAGGGTTTTGTTTTGGGCGCTGCAGTGTGACCTATGAATCCCAAAGGACTGGCAAGTTTCTCTTTCAACGAGGATTTTGCCTCTGGTGTGAGGGACAATCACCGTTGTTCTTACTAAAGCACAAGTTTATTACCCACTTGCCATTGTGTTCATCTCCAACCTTTTTCTTGAATTGACGCGATTCCGGATGAAAAAAAAACAGTTATCCTTTTTCACACTAACATTGCAAATGTCCTGACTTTCGTAAGTAGAGATGCTGTTTCATTGCTTTTTCAGGAGAAGCATTCTGAAGCAACTTAGTGACTCATATCTTGTCCACCTCGAATCACTTGAAAATGATCAAGCGTGGGTTTCTGCTATGAACGAGGTGATTTACATTGTTCTTTGCTTCAGAGTTGCTAGCTACCATAGTTCTTTCTTCAAGGTCATGCCAGAGGTGCGATTTTCCTTGGACGATTTAATATATTACACGAAAGCCTTGAGAAAGTGCATTGCTAGAAGTGCTACTACGGTTCACTCACTATTTATAGATAAAGAAAAACTTTTGAAAAAGTAAGTGTTCCGTGGAGTCATTCATTTTACCCACAGATTCTACTATCTAGACTGTCCGCTAGAGGAATTGCTGATGTTGACAGATTCGATTTGTGCACTTGTCCTATATATAAAAGAATTCTAAGTTTTATACGGGTTCGAAACTCGGGAATTTTCCGGCAGCTGCGTTTTCCATTAACCGCTCGAGGTATGGTTTTCACAATTCCTAATGGAGGCTCGTTTCATGTGGTCTGTTGTCGCAAATGCTTGTGAAAGTGCATAAGATAATCATAGCTTTCAGATACATTGCGCATATTGGAGGCATGTTATAGGCGTCTGAAACCAGCTGTAACTGAAATCACTCCGAGATCGTCCCTCCCCAAAATATCAATGCATCTTCTAGTCGAGTGCATTATCGACAGAATGCTGCACATCGATCCTTCATGGCAGCCACCACTGGTTTTTCAGCCATGGGTGAATCACACAGCTATTTTTCTGTTGCAAACACTTTTTTTAAGTACATTGTTCAAGGTGCGCTCCTGGAATCATGTGCGCTACTTCTCAAAATACTCAAACAACGAAGAAATCAGGAACTGTGTCGTTGACGATCGTCGAATGAGGGAGACGCTCTTTGAGGATCCGCAGTAGTAGGGCTTAAAATGTTTTACATATACGGTTTGTCCACTGTACCGCAGTAGTCATGAGGAGCTCTGCTGTGTGAATGGAGCGGGAACGTTAATGATCGTAATTCCTCAGACAGTAGTTCAATGCATCGTTTACATTAAAGTGGGTCTCTGCATTGCATATCAAAGGGGCTAGCTTCAGCCGATCGGAAGCGCTCCAATCACCCTTAAACGCGTCTTTAGTGCTCCAGACCAACCGACACCTCCACTGCATACCATGCCTTCAAACAATAGTGTATAGCTGCACGAGGGGGTATAAGCATTTACCACACAATTCACCACATAATGGGAGTATTAGCACACAAAATTTTGTCAGTCTTTTCAGCAGTGTTTCCATTCAGGTGGGGTATAATAGCACTGACCACACAACTTTTGATAGTCTTGTGACACTGCTTCCCATTTACCCGTTCCAGCTGTTTGTATGGTTCTGAACCTTCAAGCAGGGCGCTTTATTCTGTGGTGACGGACAATCGGAGACGACGATCAGGTTCTTTAGAAAAAGCGACGTCTTCTATTCAAGTAATGCAGTTATTTCGAGTTAGTTCTTCGTTCCAAATGAAAACCGTTTCAAGGACAGGCACAATGAACAGGATTCCGAAAACTGTTCTGAAAGACGAAGTACAGTGCATAGTTCATTGTCTGATGTTTTATCGGAAGAGGTGCACCAAACCTCTGCCACTCAAGCTGCTATGGCTTCAAGAGAAGTTAGTAGGCGGATTCTCTTAATACTTCCCTCATGAAAACATCCTTTTCGTCATCAGGTCTCGGCTACAAAAGACGTGTTAGAGTTGTTTGGATCAGATCGAGATCGAGGATCATCTTTCGATGTGTTCGCAGATGCAGCACTTCAATTAATTTCGTCTGAATACGTGTTTCCGCATGAAGAAACTGCGCATGGTTCGTGATTGTCCGTTTTTTTTTCGTCTCAATGGTCTTTGATTAGATCATTCGATACGCGTTGGTGTTATACTAATATATTGAATACTAATATACTATGATATAATAAAATACATACATTTTAATCTAGATAACCCTCCGTCGGAGTCAAACGACCCGCCAGTACAAGGAAGGCACATTTCAGTTATCGCTTCGAGCTCTCCAAAGCTCCCATCGAAAGCACGGGAAGTTCATTGGCAAGATGAGGAGCACCCGTACGAGTAAGTGTATCTCCTAGCATGGATTATATCCTATGATGGGGGAAGGCGCAAAAACGCTGAATACATTGTTTTAACGTCTGTAATAGATGACGTAAAAGGGCGCGTTCTTATAGACAAACTGTGCTCCACTCATCTCCAAGGATGATGCTTGTTATGTGCGAGAAGAACGGGTGAGCAACTATGCAGTTGTAAGAGTTTCGTCAGATACCGCGCAGAGTTGAGGCTGTACGGTTATGTTACCCGAGTGCTGTTCTGGACTCCGTTCGCCCTATCCTCAGTTTGCAGCATTTGCGTCGAAACAGAAGTCCTGCAGCAAAGATGCAGTCAGAGATCAGAACATCCAGGGATAAGAGGGCGTAGCGGGTTTAGCTGTGATTAGGCCTGTGAGTAGTTATGCGGCAGCGCGAAACGAAACGGCCTGGGCATCAATACCCTCCAGCCCCCTTCCCCTGCATTGTTGAGGGGAGAAAGTGGCACAGTACTGCAGCTACGAATCCATTAAACCCGCACATGGGAAGGACCAGTAACTACGGAGAGTGAGTGTACAGTCTATCTTCAAAACGACAATAGGGAATACACCACGTGCTTGTCATGGACGGTTTTCCACAGTTCATGCTGCATTTCATTGACTACTATGGTTGAATCCGAATAAATTCAGTGTTTTAAAAATGTCGGTAGAAGCTCAGCCAGCCGCTTCTGGAGCACAGCGACATTACGACGACCCAGATGTTGCACAGCCTGAGGGCTGGTTGCAGTTTCTGTCCTAAGTATTTCTGTCATCTTTTTTTTATTTTTCTCGGACTGTTTCAAGATGAAAAGATCTCTCATTGTTGTCTGATACGTTGTTCTCACATTGTTGTCTGGTTTGTTGTATTTTTGACATAAATATCCTATTGAGTGTGCCCTCCGGGTTCTAAATCAAAGGAGTGCTCATTGACTCGTTGCCAGAGATTTGACCGAGTTACTAGTGCTGCAGACAGGGTCAACGTAATGTACTGTAGACTGGCCCGTTTGCAACTGATGATCGTGAGAAGCTTGAAGGCAGTTGGGACGATAATTTGGTACTCGGCCTACAGTGCTATCAGAGCTCTATATAGAAGGAAAATGGCGAAAAAAGGAAGTGAAACGGAGGAAAACTGCAAAAACCTTCATTCTTGAAAAGTAATTTCGGACGAGTTCCCGTAGGCATGTTGTCAATAACCGCTACGGTAGGTACAGGTGCATGTATTTACTCATACATCTATGCAGTACCGCAGCTGCTTCAAACCAATGCCTTCGCTTCATATTTTAGTTGATAACTGAAGCAATACGGGCATCAGGAACGGTCGTCCACTTGTGGGCGGGCGGGCGTAGCAGGCGTCAGGATCGGTACTTTGTGGCTTGATAGGGCCTTATAAGAGCACCTCCCTTAGGAGAGGCGGTACGCAGCGACTGCTCAGGGTCGCGGTCATTGGGGATTTATCGTAGCAACTGCCTTTAAAGAGAGTTCCCGCGGTAAAGTGTCGTGGATAGTTGCTGTTCAATTATGAAACAGTGGCTGATAAGTAATTCCGCAAACAAGGAAAAAGCTTTCCCGTGCGCAGATTGAATCGGCGCCGAGGTACCGGAAGGGATTCTGGGCAGGACCAGCCATGTGGAACGCGAGTTTTCAGCAAACTCGGGTGTCTTTGAAGGACCATAACTTCCTCAAAAGCGGATCTGTGGGGAAGAGGAGACCGTATTAGTGTAGAGGAAGGTTTGCGCTTCCTAAAAGTACTGAAACGTTGATGAAGGTCGCAAAAATCACAGAGAAGTATGAGATAGGGAATCGATGGGGATTTTTTCAGGGACAGGTTTGAATCAATATATATTTTTGTAACTCAACATTTTACACAAATCTGAGAAACGGATTCGAGTGTAGGAGACTTGCTCTTTCCTAAAAACCTATTGAAACTGTTTCGCGAAGTCATCGGGATTCATGAGAATATGGCGATGGGGATTTCTCGCGCAGTACTCCGAGCTGCGCAAAAACCGTTCCTGTGTAGCAGTTGAACAGTGAGCCGTGTCGAATAACCAGGAACGCATGAAAAAACGTATCCCGCGGTGGGGCAGGAGCAGAATATGTCGTTCTTAGCGCCGATCACGGCTGACTTTGGATGCGCCGCGCACTGAGGTCCGCGCAGAAGTGATGGATAGTGCAATCTGTGGCGTAATGTCTGCTTCACGCTATATACGATGGGCAAATGTGTTTCGTATAAGTTCAGGGAAGGTCCATGGCGAGCCTTGCAACTTTTTTACGTGTTTTCCGTGCGTAGATGGACACGTGCCTCCCGCACCTGCCAGATTCTGTGCTCCCCAGTTGCCGACTCCGATAAAGGGAACAACTGCTGGAAACGCCTATACGAACGGAACGGTGGTCGCTGTCGCCTTGTAGAGAAAAAACCAGGTTGGCTTCCAGCGCCAAGCGTTTGACCGCGGACACTGTGAACGCTACATATCATGGCAGCGAACCCATGAGTTTGACTGTTTTGTACTGTACTCACAACGGACCTACGAGATGAAGTGTCGACTATTAACTATTTGCAGTTATTCGGATTAGTTTGCCGTGAATGAAAGGTTTTGTACTTATTTTTTTTGCACTATCCGAGTTCTCTGTACAAGCCAAGTTTCGCCGTACAGGCACAAGCAGCCACATGTGACAATTTGCGCCTGCCACCCTTAACTGCTGCCAGCACTCACTACGACGCCCCCCCCTCCCTGGCGGCCAAAATACGGGACCCCCTGTTGGGTCCGCCAAACCAAACGATGCTGCCCTGGGCGAGAACACCTGAATGCTGTCACCGTTCCATCCTTAGTTCAGGCCATTTCCTGCCTAGTTTTCGACTAATTTTGTTGTTTTTTCAAAGTGCTTTTCTCTTGCGAAGTAGCATTAAAACGCATTTTTTTGATTCTATAGTGAAGTTTTTCTTTTTGCTATTTTGTTTTAGTAACTGGCTTTAGTTTGCTTCTCATTTGGTCCTCTTTTGGTTAGGCTTCTACCTCCAATTCCGGGTTTTCTAGTATTATGGTGCCATCATTGCAGACCGGTGGGCGCGTGCCTGTGGACCTCGGCTGTTACGCGGACGTCATGCGCTGCGAGTCAACACGCACCGCCCACCGTTGCGCAATGATGAGCGGACTGTACATAGACAAGAACACATCACTCGATACAACATGAACCTGAAGAAAAAGCACTCCACTAGAAAGTAATCAAAGGAAGAAAACAGATCAAAATACCCCCTACCAGATGAAGTACAAAAGAATCAAAAGGACGCCAAAAACACGTCAGAAGAACCTCGAAGGCAAAATTATAGAATCTACCAGTCATAAATTTACATTGCGAGCAAGAACACTAAGGCGCGATCAATACATGAGTGACAGAAATGCCGAACCAACGGAATGTGCAGAACTGGCGGAATTTGCAGACTGTGTGGGATCTGCAGAACGCCGGTAACTTGCGAAAAAGAAAATATGTCTATCGAATTCAACCGTGAATATGCAGAAAACTGCGGAATGTTGCAGAATGCCGCTGGCTGCGATCGATCCGTATTCGCTTGTTTGTCCGCAGTTTTCTGCATGTCGGCAAATTCCGCGGAAATTGAAGAAATGCAGTTTTTCCAGATCGAATACGCATATATTATCCTTTCTGGCACCAATTCCGCAGTTCTGGCATATTCCGCATTTCTGCAGCCAATAGTATGAACGCGGCTAACGCGAAAAGCAGCCAAAAACAGTGGGAGAATATGGAGAAAAGGCATAACCATG